TTCGTTATTATGTTTACTGTGAATTCTTTTTTTTTTTTTTTTTTGAGATGGAGTCTCTCTCTGTCACCCAGGCTGGAGTGCAGTGGCGTGGTCTTGGCTCACTGCAACCTCCACATCCTGGGTTCAAGCATTTCTTCTGTCTCAGCCTCCCAAGTAGCTATAGGCTACTGGTGTGCACCACTACGCCTGGCTAATTTTTGTATTTTTAGTAGAGACTGGGTTTCACCATATTAACCAGGCTGGTCTCAAACTCCCGACCTCATGATCCGTTTGCCTTGGCCTCCCAAAGTGCTGGGATTACAGTCATGAGCCATGTGCCTGGCCCCTTACTGTGAATTCTATTCAATAATCTTGAACTCCCAGTGCTTTCCCTTGGTCCTGTCCATATAATGAGCACATTCTGTTATTAATGTGATTATGTGCTGATTTTATTGTAGGAGGAATTGAACAAATCTATAGCTCAGCATTTTACTCTTTTGTAGAAATCCCTTGACCTTTTCCAAATCCAGACATCACAACTTTCTCCATACACTCTAAAACTGTGAAATCCACAAGGCAGGGAAAGTTGATAATGAAAAAAAGGAAGTTTGGTCTGTTGGACATCCTCTTCTTTCATCTTTTATGTTCAAAGTACTTGATGCACAAAGCCTGGGCTCTTTTATCTCTATCCTATAGACTAATGTCTAGTCAGTATTCATTGTGACAAAATTGTTTCATCAGAGCAAGTTGGATAGTGTATGGAGTTTATTATAAAATTATTTAACTTGCCTTCTGTCAAGTAACCAGTTTATAATTGGTATTAATGTTCATTTTTTTCCCAGTACCGGTTTCAGAAGCTTTCATTTGTGTGTGCTTGTGTGTGTTAAATAAGTGTATTAGATATTTGAAAAATAGTAATTTAAATTTAAATAATTTAAAAAATGAAATTGTAATTTTATGTGTAAAGGTGTCAGATGCGCTTTATTCTGCACTGAAAACAATATTCATTTACAGCTCAACAGATATGAAAAAGATTCTAAAATTACTTTCCTAGAGTTATCAGAAAACAGCACTATAATAATGAAATCAAACCCATCTTTCTTTATGATTTATTCTTAGTCTGATACGCATCAGCCTGGTAAGCCTTCCTGTCTCTCTCCTTACTTACCAATCACTCCAAATGTCATGTCTTTGGGCAGGCATTAAATTCTTGGGTTTTGGGGTTTCCTTGGATGGACTGCAGTCTGTGTGAGCCTATATGGGTTTGTCAGCTCCAGTCTTTGGGGTGTCATGGAAACTTAACATGACAGACTTGATTTTATCCCCAAGTTGACTTGGTAATTTCATTAGATTTCATCAGTCACAACCTGCATTTTATCTTATATGTGCTGTCTATCAGTCACAAAATCAGAACACCTTCTTGTCCATCCATAACATTAGCTGTTTTCTCAGGCAGCTAGAGGGACATGTCATTGCTTCATCTGCATGAATTTGAAAGATTAAATGCATAAAGGAATTTTCTTAGACTAGAGTAGGCCTTCACCATCTGTTTAACTGGGAAAGAAGTTTTGGGAGTAACATACTCATCACTCACACTCTCCTGCCCTCAAACACACACACTCACCCATTAGAATGTAAGGGCCTTGAGGCAGGCCTTGTGTTTGCTTTTTATGTTCACCGTCAGCATTTAGAATAGTGATTGTCATACAGATTGATAGTGCTCAATCAATTATTGTCAAATTAAGTAATCTTCTACTTGTTCCTTGATGCAGACTAGCAGAAGGGGCTGGTACATTGTAGGTACACAGTAAATATTTGTAGAACAAATGAATGAACCAACCCAACAGATTTCTGAGAAGTAGCCTGCTTTTGGTTACTGATTATTTTATAGAACATATAAAAGAAAATTTTAGAATACCTAATTTGTTCACAAAAATGTTATATTGCCTCCCCTGATACTTGGTTTTCCTGTGTCAGGCTAAGCACTAAGGTTATAAATTTTTTGTTAAGCGTGTAACTACTATTATTTCTCATGTACTTTATTTTGTGTATTGATTTCAGTAGCTGTAGCTGAGGGGAATCCTTAAGAGCACGCAGATTTTAAAAATTACATAGATTGCCTTGCCAAGCAGTCTGAAAATCATACTAGGAAATTTGATAAGAGCCTGCTGTTAAGAACACATTAAGTTATTTTTGTCTTAATACTAAGTGGAGAATTGAATTTATTTTTTTGTTGCATTTAATGTTTTGATACATACAGTAAATAAGGATAAATCCACTTATTGAAGGATAAGAAAAGATCAATAAGATCCTTGAGGTTATTGGGTTCTATGGTATCTATTGTATCAAATTCCTTGCCCTTTCGCTACACTGAGAAATTTGACGACTGGGCTAGCAACAAGATACCTACCCCACATTTGCCATGGTACCTGCTGAAATGTGGCTATGCTAGCAAAGAAAATGAGCCAAAAGAAACTCTTTCTGAAGATTCACTGAAGAAAACCTGGAGATACTCTTTCATTGCCTGTAGTTATTAGGTAGACCCCACAGAGACCAGTGGAGTGTCCATCCTGCAACCAGAGTGTTTTGGATTTCAGATTTTTTCACACTTGGGATCCTCAACGTGTGTATTTGTTGGAAATGGCCGCTTAATTTAAGGAAAAGGTTAAGGTGGCCTGGAAAACAAGTAGTAGTTGAACTAATCAACAGGAACCAAAGCTACTTCCAATATATAGTGTACTTATATTCAAAGGGAGACAGACCATTTTATGATAGAACCCTGTCTATGGTAGTATTTTGTGGTGTTTTATTTTTGTTGCTATTGTTCGCACTGTTTTCTCCTGTAACAGCTCTTCTAAGCCTAAAGAGGATAAATTTTATATGAGATTCAAACTCTTATTTTTATTAAGAAGGATGTAAGTTACTGGGAGCAGTGACTCATGCCTGTAATCCCAGCACTTCGGGAGGCCGACGCGGGCGGATCATGAGGTCAGGAGCTGGAGATCAGCCTGGCCAACATGGTGAAACCCCGTCTCTACTAAAAAAAAAAAAAAAAAAAATTCAAAAATTAGCCGGGCGTGGTGACACGTTCCTGTAGTCCTAGCTACTTGGGAGGCTGAGGCAGGAGAGTCACTTGAACCTGGGAGGCAGAGGTTGCAGTGAGCCGAGATTGTGCCACTGCATTCCAGCCTTGGTAACAGAGCAAGAGACTCTGTCTCAAAAAAAAAAAAAAAAAAAAAAAAAAAAAAAGAAAATAGAAGAAGAACGTAAGTCAACCTTTTTCTATGAAATTATACTGTACTCTAAGGCAAATTCTTGTTGCTTGATCTTAGTAGCTCTTTTATGCATTGACTTAAACCTGGAAGAGTTTCTTATGAATGTTTGATTGATTGTGAGGTGCGTTTGAAACAGCTTCTATTTTATAACCCTTTGCAGAACCTTCAAGCTCTATTTAGATCACAATATATATGGGATTAAAATGGAAAATGTGACATATATCTAGAGAAAGTTCCTTTTTCTGTGTGTGCGCCTTTTGTGACTTACACACTCAGTTTCATTCTAGCCAGCATTTTAGCCTAGAAAATAGGGAAGCTGTAAAAACTCTGTGCCTTATAAGAAGGCAAGGCTATGACTATTAGGCACATAAATCCCAGGGCTGGGCGGAAGTAACGAATCAAATAAAAACTTGGGGAACTTGCTAAAGGATGTTTTCTGATTAATATGAATTCTCTTCTCTTATTAATGTGGATTTCAGTTACTCTGAGTATCCACATTAATAAATTGGTTATTTATTGCTTATTTATTGCTTAGGACTTATCTCCCTGTGAAGAGACTAAAATTGAGGTTATAAAGTATGGGTAGATAGAAATTCCAAAAATATTTAGGTACCTGTCATATACCTTAAACATAGATTTTTATCATGATCATTTAGGGGCTTATTATTGCTTTTACTTTATTTAATGTTTGTCACTGCAGAAGAAAAAAACCTAAATGCTAAATATAACATTTAAAATATTTTTCCCTTCATAACAGTCACCCATTGATTACTGGCATAGAGAATATCTCTATGTGGATAACACACAAAAGCATTTCAGTGACACACTGTTTCTTTCTGCTACTCAGTTTGCTTTTAGGTTACCTTAAACGACTTCCTTAGTGAACAAATCAACTTCAATGTTAACCAAAATTTAAAAGATTCATATATAGTAAAAGAACTAATATTTGCAGATTGATCTATTCCATTTGTCTTTCAGAGGAGGTACGAGATACATGACAGTAGAGCTAGCAGCAGAAACAATAACATGTATGATGAATCCTGTTGAGTCTTTGCAGTTTGTTTTTATTAAAATATTTTAGTTGAACAATTTAAGCTTTTTTTCTTCATCAGGATTTCACAAGGGTGTAATTTGCCCAGTTTTATTCTGTCATTTTTTTCAAAACAAAATAACCAGATTTCCAGATGGTTTACTAATTTTATATAAGGTGGAACAAAATTCTCTTTTTCTCAATATTGTTAATTAACCTGTTGTTTCCCATTAGTATTACGTACCTCAGTGCTGTGTTTTCAGTCTGGAGTGGTTTTGCTTGTCAGGGGACATTGACAATGTCTGAAAACAGTTTGACTGACATAACTGGCATCCAGTTACTAGCATCTAGTATGTACAGGCCAAAGATGCTCCTAAATATTCTGTATTATGCAGAGCAGTGTCCCCCACCCCCCAGAAAACTTATCTAGCTCAAGATATTAGTAATACATCAACCGAGAAAGACTGATGTATGGAACCTCATTTGTTAGTGTAGGAAAATAAAGTGTCACCTATAAATTCACCATCCATATTTATACGCCGTGACAGTATCCATTTGCTTGTGAAAGAGATGTGAGGTGACTTGATGATATGAAGGAGTTGTTCCTCAGAAGTTATTATGTTATAGTACTTTTGTCACTTTGTCTCTGTATAAGTTATTAAAATGGCTTCACTTGTGATTGAGTTCATGTAATTCTTTGTTTTTTTTTTTTTAAGCACTTAAATATAGATCCGGTGGTATGGATGAGAAAACGATTGCTTTACTTGTTGCTGGACTGATGATCACTGTCATTGTCATTGTTGGAGCCATTCTTTTCGTCCCAGGTAAGATGTGCAGTTACTAGGCAGGAACACAGACGGTAGATGAGTGCATGCCAAGGTGAGGAGGGCTGCATTAGTTTCCTAGGGCTGTTGGAACAGATGACTGCAAACTGGGTGGCTTAAACAATAGCAATTCCCTCTCCACGCTGGAGGCCATAAGTCTGAAATCAGGATGTCTTCAGGGCGATACTCCCTCTCAAGGCTCTAGGGAAGAATCCATTTCTTGCCTCTTCTAGCTTCTGGAATTTGCTAAAGAATGACGGTGTTTATCATTCCTTAGTTGCGACAGCATAACTCCACCCTCTGCCTCTCTGGTCACATTGCCTTCTCCTTCCTCTATGTCTTTGCCTGTGTGTTTTTGTTAAATCTCCCTCAGCCTCTCTCTTACGAGCACATTTGTCATTGGAATTAGAGCCCACTCATATAATCCAGGGTAAGCTCCTCCTTCCAGATCCTTAACTTCATCATATCTTTTGCCATATAATGCAGTATTCACTCTTTTGCTTTATTAGGTAATATTCACAGGTTTTGGGGATTAGGAGGTAGAAATAACTTTAGGGCCATCATTCAACTCACTACAGAGGCAAACTCCATTGGCCAAGACATGAAAGTGGAATGAAGGTGGAAATTGGCAGTTGCATTTGGAGAATGGGAATGTGAGTGGGAAATGAGGAAATGTAGCACAAGAAAAGCAAAGGAAAGCTGGGACTTAACCTGATAACTATAGCACACCATCGTTTCTGGAGAAGAATGCAGTACAGATGTAATGCTTAGGAACATGGGCTTGGCAGCTCTGTTGGTATCTGAAGTTAGTGAAGACAACGGGAGGAAGGAGGTGGATTCAGAAGACAACTTGAAAGAACAGTTGAGTTGACTTTGGGACATACTGAACACAGCAAATGAAGGGAACGGTGAATGATGAATACACAGTTTCTCATCTGGAATTCTGTAAGCTAGTTAAGAAGGAGGCAGAGCCAATTCATGGTTTCAGCATGTTGAAACTTCAGTGTTGAGATTTAGATGTTTTAAGTTTGGTCTTAATGAAAAAATAGTCACTAACTTTGTATGAGGTTTTCAGGGAAACGTATATTTTTTAAATTTTCACAGTTGTTAAGTGTAGAATTTAGATTAGTACATTTAAAAAGTATGCAGGAAAATATTTTAAATGTTTTTATTTATTGACAGGTGAATATTCATTAAAGAATGCTACTGGCCTTGGTTTAATTGTGACTTCTACAGGGATATTAATATTACTTCACTACTATGTGTTTAGTACAGGTGAGTATTTGTTGTTACAGTATGACTTTACCTTTTTCATTTACAAAACAGTAGTTTTGGTGAAAATACTCATAGTTTTTTTACAACTCAATAAAAGTTGGTTTATTAAAAGATTTTTCATGCTATTCTTAGTGACATTTTCCCATTCATATTAACTTTAAGTTTATTCTAGGTTAGCTATTTTGTAAAAAGTGATTTTCGTATGTATTTGATGCCAATCAGCATAATTTTACATTATGCCATATCATTTCTTAATGATTATTTTCATATTCTAATTTCAGTTTTTTGAAGTTATAAGTGGATGCAAAACAGTCTTTCTCTTTTGCTAAGCTTCTGCTTCTGTATTAAGAAGACTGGTTCTATAAAATGGAATTATGAATCACAAATAGTAGAAACATACTTGTTTTAATTATTAGCAAACCTTAATACTGTAGTTTTAAAAGATGGTATGGATATCCAAACTATAATCAGTATCATTTACACTGCATTTTGAAAGTAGATCACTACCATATTTAGTTATTACGATTAAAGAGTCACATTTAACACTTGGTCTTAGAGCCTCTCTCTGGCTTGTTGTACATTGGAAAGGTATTAGTTTGTTATAAAATGACAGATCTAGAGATAGAGAGCATGATGTTTACAGTCACGGATTTGCATAATGGTTCTCTCAGCAAGAGCAATTCTGTGTGCATGTGGAGAAGCCATGCATAATAGCCGTTCATATTGTAAAATGCACGAGTGTGGTAAAAGCAGCATTGTTCTAAGATTTAGGGTAAAAACTTCCAGTCCAGCTTAGCTGACTGTGAAAATTAAAGGCTGCTGAATGTGTGAATTTGGAGCTGACTACTTGTGTGGAATGGTTAGATCACTGAGCTAACATCTACCATCAGACAATGAGCTCTTTGGTCCTAAGACCAAAGACAATGAACAGTCTTTGGTCTTAGGAGATCCCTGATTATACCAAATGCAAGTGGAGGTGATTGCTTTTTAAATACTCTTGACACGCTTCTGTTACATCCTTTTCCTTCCTCCAGCGATTGGATTAACCTCCTTCGTCATTGCCATATTGGTTATTCAGGTGATAGCCTATATCCTCGCTGTGGTTGGACTGAGTCTCTGTATTGCGGGTAAGAGTCATCTTTCTGTAGACCTAATTTGGGTTACTCTTGGACAGAGCTCTTCTTCCTTTTTCTTCTTTTTCTTTCTCTCGTTTTAAAAATATATAGACTTGATTTTTTTTTTTATTGCAGTTTTTGGTTCATGGCAAAATTGAGTGGAAAGTACATTCAAATACATACTTTTGTGTGGACATAAGTTTTCAGTTCTGTTTGAGCACATACCAAGGAGTGCAATTACTGGACTGTATGTTAAGAGTATGTTGTAATAAACTGCCAAACTCTCTGTATCAAAATGGCTGTACCATTTTGTATTATCACCACCAATAAATAAGAGTTTTTGTTTATTCATATACTTGACAGCATTTAGCATTCTGAGCTTTTCTTTTTAAACTTCCAATTTACCCCAGTGGTAATAGTGCTTTCCTCCTTGCTACAAAGATATTAGCTGTATATATGACTTGGTGGCTGATTGTTCTAGCACCCAAACTGATATGCCTGTATTTATGGAAGAACTTTTAAAATAACTGGGCTCAAATTGGTTGGAGCCTTAGACTTGAAACACTAGTTCCCATTTCTTGATATGATAAGGTATGTGTTATGCAAAGGAGGGCTTTGTTCTTATAATAATTTTGAGTCATTTTACTGGTTAAGTTAATAAACATATATGGATACTTTTTGTTTTTTGATCATTAGAATAACTCTTAAATCTTGGGATTATTACTGTTTTTTAGTAAGTTGTTTCATATGCTTTTCTAATACAGAATTGTTTTTTTTTTTTTGTTTTTTTTTTTTTTTTTACAGCGTGTATACCAATGCATGGCCCTCTTCTGATTTCAGGTTTGAGTATCTTAGCTCTAGCACAATTACTTGGACTAGTTTATATGAAATTTGTGGGTAAGTCAATCTTATTTTCATTAACCTATGCCAGTAATTTCGGATATATCACTTAGAAAATGCTTTTTAGTTTGTTCTTCCAGTTTAAGACCAAAAATCAGAAAATACAATTGGAATGATTTGAGGGTAATTAAAGAGGGTGGAAGATATATAGGATTAATGAAAAGTTTGGTTTTCAAACTAGTTTAAAGAAAATGGCTTTATCTATTATAATGTGTATCTTTTTATACTAAGTAAAAGGGGAGCGATCTTTGAGGATCCATGTTAAGTGATAGAATAGGAGTTGTAATTGTTGCAGTGTTCCTGTGTAGAGCTCTCCTGCAGAGACCTGTTTGTTTATCACTTGCTCTTTTTCTTGCAGACATAGACACCCCTAGACAGGAATGAAGATTCACAATCTATCAGTTTTGTTCATTTAAAGAACAGTGACCTCTAATGCATGACTTTAAAACAGTTCTAGTTAAAACCAAATTATGAAAACATTGAGTTTCAAAATTTAGACTTACTCCTTTTAAAATCAATTATTAAATTATTAATAAGTATGGAATTTACTTCATTGTTTCTAACTTTTATATTTAATCTGCCAATTTTCAAGTAATGTTTCTACATAAATTCTTGTTTTTATTGAGATATGTGCACACAGAGAGATATTTTTAATTGTGCCTGAAACTAATGTTATCTTACCTAAGCTCAAGATGTTCCCGATAATGTCATTTATATCAGTTTCCCTTTTTAAAAAAATTATGTTTTTTATGAAATAAAACATACTCTTAATAATCCAAAGTTATAAATTAATGGAGTAAAAAAATAGTGTTTCTGCTTTGCTGGAGGTAAACTTTGCTGTATATGTTTCTAAAAACTAATACAAAACTTGAATTGTTATAGTCAAATAATTTCCCATATGACTCACATAATAGTTTCGAAAAAATTTTACCTTTATTTCTGAACTTTTGATTCTTGGTAATTGAATTCAATTCTGTCATATATTCTGTGTCTTTCTTTAATTAATGCTTATTAGATAAATAAAATACTTAACCAAAATCTACCTATCTTTAGCATATGAGTTCATAAGTCTTAGTTGTTGCTCAATGAAATTTTCTAATTTTATACCACATAATGCCATAAAATACAATGGAGACATCTAAAGCAGAATGGAATCCATGTGGTAGCTACAGTGAACATCTTGAATGTTGGTGCATATTCTATTTTTGCTACATCTTCCGATCACCATGTGTCTGGTTCTGGAAGATGACACTCCTGGTTTTGTTGCTCCCCACGAATGCCTGAGAATAGTGTGTGATTTGCAGTATCCATACAACTCTGGTGAATTAGTATTAGATACCTTTGGCTGATGGGCAGCACGCTCTTATTTTTTCCTCACTATCTGGGTTGTCCTCCCTTTTACTCTCATGCCACCCCATACCTTCCATATCTAGCATAGAATGATCTTCAGTACAGTTGCTAGCAGGTCTGGTGACAATGCCTCAAGTGGAACTAAGCATTGTCTATCTGCCACCTCCTTAACCTCACTCTCCTGCCTTCTCCATGACTTACATTCCTCCAAGCCTGTGAAACCACTCTACTGTACCTGTCACTGTTCTGACATTAAAATTAAAATGACTGAAATCCTGACAAGTACCCCAAATTATTTTTTCTTTGTCATAGGTTAGCATATAAGTATACTATATGCTAAAATTTATGCTATATGTTTAAAATTTAGTGCAATTTTATTGATAGTGTCCTAATTTTATTGATAGTATCCTAAGTTAACTTTTTAAATCAACTTGTCTGATGCCAGAGTTCAGAGGGACACCTACGGTCAGTTGAAAGGCAAGAAGAGACAAGGTACAGGAAAGTTGCTCTTTAGATAATGTGGTAGACTAGGAGGAACATTAATATGGTTTGCTTATATAATCTGACTGTGTAAATCTGAATCTATGTTACATTAAGGTTGCAAATTTGAGCGTTTGTATTAGGAAGTTAAAATTTTAAGTGTCTCCAAAACAATTTTTACTCATTGCACGTGTTCTATTTTAGAAAACTCTAATGATTGTGCTCTGATTTAAATGCAATAAAATCCTCAGATAGTTAAAAATCCAAGCTTTCTCTTCAAGAAGAAGTTAATGTCACTATGAGATTTTTAACTTTTATAATTTTTATTATTTCCAACTTTAAATTTGTAGCCTTAATTTTTATTTTAAAGAGTAGGCCTTTCACTTTCTACAACTTTCTGTGAAAGTGACTTTCACTTTCTATTTTTAAATTTTTTTAACTGTTGTATTTTTTTTTCTTTTATTGGAAGCATTTTAATTTTATAAGATGAGACAAAGGACTGGGCACAATAACTTAATGTGAAAGCATAGAAAAGATTACAAGCAACTAACCAAACTCACTAAAGTTGGGCTTGTTGTTTGTAGAGAACGTTTATATGATTATAAGGGTCAGTGCTTTCTCATTTTTAAAGCTATTACCAGTTAGTTCAATATAAGGGCATATAGTGTTTTGATACAAATCAATCTAGTAGCAGTAAGAACCATATTTACCACAACATCCCAGATATTTTAGAATGATGCAGATGCAGAATGTACATGTAGAATTTATATGTATGTATAAGTATAAATTCAGATATTTTCTTGTTCAATTTGAGAGGTAAATTTGGTATCAGTAGAAAAAATGTTTTTGAAAAATTTAAACCCTGAAAATATATTTATGGCATGGAGTCAGATGTTTCAGGGAGAGAAGAACAAATCAAGAAGCACTGCAAGTAAGCTCGTATGGAATGCTTAAGGCTTGTGGTTAAAAAAATATATGTATATGGCTGTCAATGTCTTAGGCTTATGATAGCAGCAGCTTAATCATAATAATTCTTTTGTCACATGGGTTATATCCATATTGGAGAGAATTAACTCAGGTGAAATTAACTTCTACACTATTTGGTTTTATAATATTTAGAGGGATCACAACTGACTGATGTCCCTTTGAAGTACCGTTCTTCATAAATCTCTTTTTTCAGAATGGGACAGCCAAATGTGACATCCCTTGGATGTGAGATTTAGAACTAGAAACTATTCTTTACACATTATTAGGGAAGAAAAGGAGTTACTTGGCAGTTAGCAATATTCTATTTTGTTTTGTTTTGTTTTTAGAGACAGGGTCTCATTATGTTGACCAGGCTGGCCTTAAGCTCCTGGGCTCAATCTATGCTCCAACCTCAGCCTCCCAAGTAGCTGAGACTACAGGCATGTGCCACCACATCCGGCAATGTTTATTCTGATAAGTAAATTTATGAGCTCAAAAATGTAACTCTAAAACCGTATCTCTGACCTTATATATTATCTTCAGAAATTTAGGTAGCTGTTTAGTTCTCTTTTTCTTTGTAGAACATAGATATAAGGCATGGTTTCATTGAAGTTCAGTTGTATATACATGTAGCTATCTTGATGTTCCCAAATAAAGCTCTATATTTCTGCTTGGTTTATTGGGGAAGCTGCTAAATGTAGTGCATCCCAACCCATTTTACCCCGTTCTACTTTAAAAAGAGGTTGGCTTCTTGTTTGGACGCAAGGACCAGATCACTCCCCCAGGTTCCTCCACAGTAAGGGAGGTCTATTTAAAGCCACCCATGGCACTAACAGAGACTGGACTCCTATGAGTTCAGATACATAACTGGGCCTCACAGGGGTGGGACAGTATGTAGTCTAGGAACTGGAAGGATCCATTCCATCTCAAAGAGCTGAAGCATCGTGTTGCCCTCTCAGCCACGAGAGTAAGGTGATGCTCCTGTCAGTTATAGTCCCTGAGTTCCTCTGTCTTTGATTCTTTGCCTGTTAGCCAGCTAGCTCACCCTTTCCTTTATGCCCCCATTTTTTATCCTATTCATGCCTTCTCACAGACAGCTTTTCTTACCTACAACTTTGAGCTCGTCCTGCCTCCTTTCTGTTTCTTTTTCACTTTCCCTTCCCATCACCAACTTTCTGGTCTTTTTTCTGTTTCTCCTTAGAGTCCAGTGGTGGGGAGAAACTTGTCAGTCCAGTCCTTTGCCATTTTTCCTGTTGGAGAAAGACTCGTCAGCTTTTGGCTGGCTCACAGATTGGCTTTCCTTGGGTCAGGACCTGCCCTTTTCCCTGCCAGCTTCAGAAGCTTAACAGAGTGCAACTGTGCAGTGGTGGTAAATAAATAGTAAGGAACACAGAGCAGTCCTGGAGGTGTGCCTCGATCTGCTGATGAGAAAATCCAATGCTGTCACCCAGCCCGGGTCTCAGTGGAATGGACCTCTCTGTTCAGTAGTATCCCCCTCCTGCTGCGTGGTTCATGGCATGTTTCTGTTCGACGCTTTTCCATCTGTAGGATTCTAATTCTGTATTTATTTGGTTTTTTGGGTTCTTTTATTTTTTGAGACAGAGTCTCGCTCTGTCACCCAGGCTGGAGTGCAGTGGCGTGACCCCAGCTCTCTGCAGCCTCTGCCTGCCAGGCCGGGGGAGATCCTCCCACCTCAGCCTCCCACGCAGCTGGGGCTATAGGCATGCACCACCACGCCAGCTAATTTTTGTATTTTTGGTAGAGACAGGGTTTCATCATGTTGCCCAGGCTGGTCTTGAACACCTGAGCTCAAGCAATCTATTTGCCTTGGCCTCCCAAAGTGCTGGGATTACAGGTGTCAGCCACCACGGCCGGCCTTCTCATTTGTTTTTTTATAAGGAAGCTATCTCTTCTTCCCTACCCAACTAGGGTATTCTTTTCCCTTTCGTCACTTTGCTCATGTCCTATATTCCTTCAACTTCATTAATGAATCCATTTAGAAGCAGTGAAGAACACGAGTCAGAAAGCTAAAAAGAAATACATACAGGAATACTCAGAGCGATCTGAGTATTTTCTTTAGTTTGTTAGCTCTTTGGAGCTTTGAAACTGGAAAGACCCAGGGAGTGGTGTGAAGAAAGAGACTGAGCAGTAAGAAACAGGAACAGTGAGCTAAGGGAGATGGAGTAGTGGGAACAAATTCTGGCACATTCTGTCCACACTCTGGGTAGACAGAGGAGGGAGGATGGAGCACCCACAGTGGGGGTATGTTGGTGACAGCGTTTTCCCACCAACCAGTGTAACAAGTGGCTGATTTGGGGGAAAGATGGCCTTAACAAATGAGAGAATGTGTTTATTATTTGATGTGGGTGGGTTATTTGCTTCATTTTTCAAATCAGTATATATAATCAAGAATATTCAGCATGTTTGAATAGACAGAGCTGGAACTCTTTCATTAACATCTCTGGCACCTTTAGTTTTAGCCCTGAACATTTTATCTTAAAATTAAACATTACCAAATGCCTTAGTTTATTTCATTTATTAAATTTATATTCTTATTTGTTATTTATATCAGCTTCCAATCAGAAGACTATACAACCTCCTAGGGTAAGTTAAAGTTTATTAAATGAATTGTGAATGATCATTTGAGGGATTAGACTGAGGAAATTGGTAATTGAGATATTTTGCTATCTGTTTAGTATCACATCAAATTAAGAGAAGTTTGAAGTCATTGCATGACCTTTGCATGAATGGACCCAGTTCTATTTTAAAACCTGTGTTTGGTCATTTTAGTATCAATGGGATGGAATACATGATTTCTTAAGATTGTACTGACTTCTCACACCCAGAACTGCAAAGTAGGAATAATGGCTATATTATCTCTGCAATCAGAAGGAAGCTGATTCCAATATATCACCTCACCTCTTGGATTCATTGGATGTACATACACAGAATGACAATTTCAAGCTTAAAAATGAGGAGAAATTCATACTAAATTGACATCATTAAAAATGATAATTATAAAAATAAATGTAAATATTGCTGAAAACATCTATTCGGAGTTATGATTCGATCCCCTCCCATACAAATGTTTTACACATTTTTTCCCTTAAAACTGTGCTTAAGGTTTCATTGTACCTTAGATACCTTATTAAGCCATCTGAGAAAATTCCAAGACAGGAGTAATTTTAGGAGGGCATAAATTAAGAGAAAAGCATGTTTATAAACATAGACTTATCACACGGTGACAGGCCCAACGGCTATTTTGTGGAGATAAGCTCTGGAAAGGATTATATTGTACTTAGCTTCCTTTTACGGAGTGATGATAGATTTATCTGGAATGCCAAAGAGAGTCTTCTGTCTGTGGCCGGAGGTAAGGGGCACATATGCTTCTAAGCCTGACAAGCCTCAGTGTGCTTAAAGGGCAGGCGGGGCGGGTATGTGTGTCGACCACAGGAGTATATTCTAGAAAGATTGGTGCCATAGCTACGTTGGTCACAAGAGGCCAGCAACTTAACCGGACCTGTAAATCCTAACACATTTTCTTTCCTGGTTACTGAGCGCAATTTGCGATACTTAAAGATGATTCTGTTTTGCTTCCACCTCTTCACTGTATTATTTATTCTGTTGTTGCTATTTATGCTTGCAATTTAATATTTTTAGAAGTTAGAATTTCTTGAGCTGAGAGTGGTGAAGTGGGAAATTCTGTTGAGAAAAATAATATTAAGAGAATAATGCAATTATTACTAAACTATTAATCAGACTTGGCAAGCTTTGCTTTAACATTTATAGCCTTATTTCATTTTTTTTTTTTTTTTTGGACTGTAGGATTTACTGCTTACTACATAGTTTAAATATTAGCATATATAAGTTTTACTATAAAAGAACATGACATAAATTATATTTTTATGTAAATATATTTTAAATATTTTTCAGAAAGCTGTAGAGGAACCCCTTAATGGTATGTGGTTATTTCACTCTTAATCCCTTACCAGATCATAATTTGAACTGGCCCACAAAACCGTAGAATGCCCCGTCTGTGCCTTAGGAAGAATATAGGGTTTTTTCCCTCTTTTCCTCTTGCCTTGGCATCTCTACTCTTGATTATTCATCAAGAATTGTTTGGCTGGGCACGGTGGCTCACACCTGTAATCCCAGCACCTTGGGAGGCTGAGGCAGGCAGATCATGAGGTTAAGAGATTGAGACCATCCTGGCCAACATGTTGAAACCCTGTCTCTACTGAAAATACAAAAATTAGCTGGGCGTGGTGGTGCGCGCCTGTATTCCCAGCTACTCGGGAGGCTGAGGCAGGAGAATTGCTTGAACCCAGAATGTGGAGGTTGCAGTGAGTCGAGATCGTGCCACTGCACTCCAGCCTGGCGACAGAGCAAGACTCCATCTCAAAAAAAAAAGAATTATGAATATTTTATAATATTCTCACCTGTGGGAAAAATGCACTATTCTGTGTCTAAGTAGTTGCTTACCTTAGCCAAGTGCTATATGGGCAAGGAGATCGTTGCCTTTTGGTACTGGCTGAGATGAAGCGTGACACCCGCAGTAGAGAAGGATCCCAATTACTTCCAATTTCTGATTTACACGTTTTAGAAAGATACACGCTGTTGCCACAGAGTGAGACCAAAACATCTCATTTCCTTTCTTTGTAAACCTAGATCTGATTTCCCAGCTAAGTTTGTTTCCTTTGTGAATGCTGTGGGTATGATCCACAAAAAGGCTACATAATAAAATGATAGCTTTACAATTAATTTGGCTGTAGAGTTGTAGACTAGTTAGCATATCATGGCATATTTGTTGATTTAGAAATGATTTCCAATGTGGAACCTTACTAACTGCCTGCTTGGCTTGTTACTAATCCCTAGCATTCAAAGAATCAAAAGGAATGATGAATGATGGTAAGTATAAACTGCACTTAATAATTATAGATCAGTTAAAACACGGACATTGAAAAACAAAAAAGCTTCTTGAAAATGTGGCTCTTTTTCAGTAAAAGGGACACTGTCAGATAATAAAGGTTCACATTTCTTGATGTATATAACTTAAATCTACTTCGCTAAAAATTGCAAAACTACTACTATAAAAGCTGTAGGGTGTCACGAATCAGACTCCAGTCGTATGGCTCTCAGCAAAGAGAAATTACCACTTTTTGTAAAACGTTTTTCAGATTCAGTGTCTGGTGACTGTAAAATGCCTTTTATAAGGCACATAAATAATCTGGCACAGATCTTTATCATTTTGACAAAGTTTCTTTTTTGCTTGTGTTGGTGATTTTGTTGCATTTAACCCATGGGGACTTAACATCTCTGCTTTTCCAATCAGGAGCTTGGTTCTAACCTTTTGGGAGATGATTAAAGAGCGAGAGAGAGAGAAAGAGAGATGTTTTGTCCTGAGCTTTTGCTGCTGATGCTGCTGCTTTTTTTTTTTTTTTAAGGACTCTGGGCTAATAACTTCTAATCTTTATAGAATATTTCAAAGACATATATTTGTTCTTAAAGATACATAGGTTTGAGATATTGAGTGCTACAAGCATTCATTTTGGTTTTACCTTAACATATTATGATTCCTCAGTTTTGTTGGCATTTAGTAACTATGTTTATGTTTTTATCTTACCAAAAACGTCTTCTTACCTTTGATATTTATAATCACTCCTCGGTCATGTAAATAGTTTGCTTTATATTTTACTGTTTTAAAGTCTGTGACCTTACCTGCCCACTTCTGTAGCAAAGTGCAGCATTTAACTCAGGAAGCTATATTCCCCCAAGTACCATTAATATTTGCATAAGATTAAAAACACTTCATGCATTGGTGAACAAAGTTTAAAACCATATATATTCAAAATGGAGTCACAGAATGATCCTACTTTTGTACGTTTGTGTCACAGCCTTTAAAAGCATGTTTTGTTATGTAAGCCATTACCCTCCTAAAAGAGACTTCAAGGAATAAATTCACAGGAATAAACTAAAAGACATTTAAAAAACCAACTGGTACCAGGAATTGTGGCATGGTTTGTTCCAGTAACTGTGGCGTGGCATGGTTTGTTTCAGTAACTGTGGCATGGTTTGTTAATGTTTACAGTCTGATGTCCTTTTTTTTTTTTTTATTTCTATGTCCTTTCCTTTTCCTTGGTGGTATCATTGTTCTGTAGTTGTATGAAGAAACTAAACTTTTCTCCATTTTCAGGAAAGCAATGTAAGAATCTTGAGTGCCTCTTCCTTTGTTAATTTCTCTTAAGATGTGACTTTTTTAAACTACTGCATCAAGAAATATTGTAAATCAGTTTTGCCTTGAATATTTGTGATGAAATCTACGATGATCTTCAAGATACCCTTAATTTTGCTAATATTCACCTGATCAGCATTTGTTTTTAAAATGTCTGTCTGGTGGGTGCTTCCCACTGACAGCTGCTCATTGCTCACAGTGTGTCTGCCTTGTCAGTGAATGAGGTTTAAGGTGCTTCCCAGGGATCAGAGTCAGTACCGTTTTTCTCTTTCATCTACAGCTGATCAGATGTTTATTTTACTTACATTAAATGAATGGTGGAGATCCAAAGTGAATATTATAGAATATTATTCTAGGATCAATGTCTTTTGCTTTGAAAAATCAACATCTCTTGGCTTTTCCTCAGCCAACCGAGCAAACAGAGATAATCAGACTGTGTTGATTTTTCACTTTGATTTGGCATTGGCCTTTTTCTTACTGAAATTAAAAAGGCTCATGATTCGCCTGGTTTCTGTCTCTGACCTTTGCAGATGTATTTTCTTAATTTTTAGATACTATATATCTGACACTATTTTTTAATGCATCAACTTTTTAATGGATAGAAAATAGACACGAATAGTGATTATATGTTCATTTTTCAATTTTCCAGAATAACTGAAGTGAAGTGATGGACTCCGATTTGGAGAGTAGTAAGACGTGAAAGGAATACACTTGTGTTTAAGCACCATGGCCTTGATGATTCACTGTTGGGGAGAAGAAACAAGAAAAGTAACTGGTTGTCACCTATGAGACCCTTACGTGATTGTTAGTTAAGTTTTTATTCAAAGCAGCTGTAATTTAGTTAATAAAATAATTATGATCTTTGTTGTTTGCCCAATTGAGATCCAGTTTTTTGTTGTTATTTTTCATCAATTAGGGGCAAAAGTAAAATGGACAATTTCCAAGAATGATGCCTTTCAGATCCTAGGGCCTCTGGTCTCTAGGTAACCAGTTTAAATTGGTTCAGGGTGATAACTACTTAGCACTGCCCTGGTGGTTACCCAGAGATAGCTATGAAAACCAGTGGCTTCCATCAAACCTTTGCCAACTCAGGTTCACAGCAGCTTTGGGCAGTTATGGCAGTATGGCATTAGCCAAGATGTGTCCGCCACTTCTGGGTCAAGGGAATAATAAATTAAGTACAGGCAGGAATTTGGTTGGGAGCATCTTGTATGCCATCTCTGTATGATGTGATATTGATGGAGATAGTGGTCCTCATTCTTGGGGGTTGCCATTCCCACATTTCCCCTTCAACAAACAGTGTAACAGGTCCTTCCCAGATTTAGGGTACTTTTGTTGGTGGATATGTTTTCCTTTTATTCACATAACCCCTTGAAACTCTGTCTTGTCCTCCTGTTACTTGCTTCTGCTGTACAAGATGTAGCACCTTTTCTCCTCTTTGAACATGGTCTAGTGACACGGTAGCACCAGTTGCAGGAAGGAGCCAGACGTGTTCTCAGAGCACTTTGTTCACACTTTTCAGCAAAAATAGCTATGGTTGTAACATATGTATTCCCTTCCTCTGATTTGAAGGCAAAAATCTACAGTGTTTCTTCACTTCTTTTCTGATCTGGGGCATGAAAAAGCAAGATTGAAATTTGAACTATGAGTCTCCTGCATGGCAACAAAATGTGTGTCACCATCAGGCCAATGGGCCAGCCCTTGAATGGGGGTTTATTACTGTTGTATCTATGTTGCATGATAAACATTCATCACCTTCCTCCTGTAGTCCTGCCTCGTACTCCCCTTCCCCTATGATTGAAAAGTAAACAAAACCCACATTTCCTATCCTGGTTAGAAGAAAATTAACGTTCTGACAGTTGTGACCGCCTGGAGTACTTTTAGACTTTTAGCACTCGTTTTTTTTTACCTGTTTGTGGGTGTGTGTTTGTATGTGCATATGTATGAGAAGGGCACATGCATCTTCTGTATGGACAAAGGTGGGGTACCTACAGGAGAGCAAAGGGTAATTTTGTGCTTTTAGTAAAAACATTTAAATACAAAGTTCTTTATTGGGTGGAATTATATTTGATGCAAATATTTGATCACTTAAAACTTTTAAAACTTTTAGGTAATTCGCCACGCTTTTTGACTGCTCACCAATACCCTGTAAAAATACGTAATTCTTCCTGTTTGTGTAATGAGATATTCATATTTGTAGTTGCATTAATAATAGTTATTTCTTAGTCCATCAGATGTTCCCGTGTGCCTCTTTTATGCCAAATTAATTGTCATATTTCATGTTGGGACCAAGTAGTTTGCCGATGGCAAACCTAAATTTATGACCTGCTGAAGCCTCTCGGAAAACTGAACATACTAGCAAGACAGCTCTTCTTGAAAAAAAAAAATGTATACACAAATATATACGTATATCTATATATACGTATATCTATACACACATGTATATTATTCCCTGATTGTGTAGCTGTCCAAATTAATAACATATATAGAGGGAGCTGTATTCCTTTATACAAATCCGATGGCTCCTGCAGCACTTTTTCCTTCTGAAAATATTTACACTTTGCTAACATAGTTTGTTACTTTAAAAATCAGTTTTGATGAAACGAGGGAAAAGCAGATGGACTTGAAAAACATCCAAACTCCTATTAGGAAATGTATGAAAATCTTTATAGTAAAATTTTTTATAAACTAAAGTTGTACCTTTTATTATGTAGTAAACTCTCATTTATTTGGGGTTCACTCTTGGATCTCATCCATCCATTGTGTTCTCTTTAATGCTGCCTGCCTTTGGAGGCATTCACTGCCCTAGACAATGCCACCAGAGGTAGTGGGGGAAATGCCAGATGAAACCAACTCTTGCTCTAACTAGTTGTCAGCTTCTCTGGATAAGGGACCACAGCAGCAGGAGTCTTCCTGCTTGGGCATCATTGGGCCAGTTCCTTCTCTTTAAATCAGATTTGTAATGGCTCCCAAATTCCATCGCATCACATTTAAGTTGCAGACAATGTTTTGCACATTATGTATCTGTTTTGTCCCATACTATGCTTTTTACTCCCTGATCCCAGTTTCTGCTGTCGACTCTTCCATTCAGTTTTATTTGTTGTCTGTTCTCACAGTGACACCATTTGTCCTTTTCTGCAACAACCTTTCCAGCTGCTTTTGCCAAATTCTATTTGTCTTCTCCTTCAAAACATTCTCCTCCAGCCCTGCTGCCCCTTCCCCCAGCTCTCCTTCGCAATCTCTCTCCATCTGTGTGGCTGCTCTTTTATCTCTGAACTTACCATTCCTACAGTACTTTATGCATCGTTGCTTAGTTCTATTAGTTTTTCGGTCTTGCTCCTCTCCCTTGATTTTAAAATTCCTTCTATAGCTAGAGCTTTTCTTTCTTCCATTCTCTCTTCCTGCAGTGTTTTGCATACATCAGAAGCTAGGTACATAAGTTAAATGATTGAGAGTTGGCTGTATTTAGATTTATCACTTTTTAATAGGATGAGCTCGAGAGTTTTCTTGTCTTTTTTTTTTTTTTTTTTTTTTGACAAATTTCACATGCTCTAAAAACCTTCAAAGGTGATTATTTTTCTCCTGGAAACTCCAGGTCCGTTCTGTTTAAATCCCTAAGAATGTCAGAATTAAAATAACGGTCTTTCCCGTAATTGAAAATACTTGTTTTTTCCGGATGCTATAGTCAATTTAGTAAGTGACCACCAAATTGTTATTTGCACTAACAAAGCTCAAAACACGATAAGTTTACTCCTCCATCTCAATAATAAAAATTAAGCTGTAATCAACCTTCTAGGTTTCTCTTGTCTTAAAATGGTATTCAAAAAGGGGGATCTGTGGTGTGTGTGTGGAAACACATACTCCTTAATTTACCTGTTGTTGGAAGCTGGAGAAATGATTGTCGGGCAACCGTTTATCTTTTATTGTATTTTATTTGGTTGAGGGATTTTTTTATAAACAGTTTTACTTGTGTCATATTTTAAAATTACTAACTGCCATCACCTGCTGGGGGTCCTTTGTTAAGTCATTTTCAGTGACTAATAGGGATAATCCAGGTGACTTTGAAGAGATGAGCAGTGAGTGACCAGGAAGTTTTTCTGCCTTTAACTTTGACAGTTCTTAATTATGATCATTGAAAACCAGCTTTCTCATAAATTTCTCTTTTTGAAAAAAAGAAAGCATTTGTACTAAGCTCCTCTGTAAGACAACATCTTAAATCTTAAAAGTGTTGTTACCATGGCTGGTGAGAGAAGAAAGCATTTTGTTTTTATTAAATGGAGCATTATTTACAAAAAGCCATTGTTGACAATTAGATCCCACATCGTATAAATATCTATTAACCATTCTAAATAAAGAGAACTCCAGTGTTGCTATGTGCAAGATCCTCTCTAGAGAGCTTTTTTGCATAGCAATTAAAGGTGTGCTATTTGTCAGTAGCCATTTTTTTGCAGTGATTTGAAGACCAAAGTTGTTTAACAGCTGTGTTACCGTTAAAGATTTTTTTTTTTATATGTATGAAATCAATTTATCACTGTTTGAAGCTTTGAATATCTGCAATCTTTGCCAAGGTACTTTTTTATTTAAAAAAAAAAACATAACTTTGTAAATATTACCCTGTAATATTATATATACTTAATAAAACATTTTAAGCTATTTTGTTGGGCTATTTCTATTGCTGCTACAGCAGACCACAAGCACATTTCTGAAAATTTTAATTTATTAATGTATTTTTATGTTGCTTATATTCTAGGTAACAATGTAAAGAATGATTTAAAATATTAATTATGAATTTTTTGAGTATAATATCCAATAAGCTTTTAATTAGAGCAGAGTTTTAATTAAAAGTTTTAAACCAGTCCAATGTGTTTCATAATTATTTTTTAATTTTCTCCATGGCGCAGTGAAAACATCACATGAGAAAGCAGGAGACCTGGGTGCTAGTCCTGGCTACACTACCAGCTAGCAGAGGACCTGGGAAAGCTACTTCCCTGGATCTCAGTGTCTGTCTCTACCTGTAGAATGAGATAAGTCTCTTCAAGACTGAAATGTATGGTTCTCCATTTTAATTATCAGTTAGGACTGTTTTGATTACAAGTGAAAGAAAACTTAAATCTAAGAAAAATGGGATCTACTGGCTAACAAAACCTGAAAATTCAGACATGCAACTAGATCCTGGGCCTCCGAAAAGTGTGATAAGGACACGATGTCTTGCCAGCTCTCAGCTTTACTGTCCTTCATGTGGCTTTACTCTCCCAGGTTTCCTGTGATGGCAAATGGCCAGCAGCAGTCCCAAACCCATTTTCTCCCAGGTTCAGGGAGAGTAGAGGGGTGAAAAAGAGCACATGTCTCTCTCTCTTAATAGTCCTGTCCACCCTGGGTTGCACCTCACCTCAGTGCTCTGACTGAGTCATGTGCCATGCATCCTTCAGTCACTGAGGCCAAGCGTCTCTGGTGCTCTGATCGGGCCTGGCTGACTCCTGAGTCTAGACTGGAGTGGAGGTTCTGGCCTCCATTGGAGCACATGTACCTGGCTGGAGGTGCCAGGTGGAGGGAAGTTCACCTGAAGCAAACTCGGGGGATCTTTCCAGATGATGAGATTTGATTTGAGGCACAGTATTCCTAGTCAACGCTTCATTCCTTCAGGTCTGTACTCTATGATTCTGCATTATATGTGTGATTGTAGACCATTTGAACGGAAAGTAATATTTGGCAGCAAAATACTGTCTCATTCCTTACCTCATAGGCAATTTAAATTTTATGCACTTATGAGAACTTTTCACTCTCAGCAGGGGTAACTAATGGAGTTCAGAAAGCATTTAATGGCCTGCCTCCTGCACTGAAAGCTGCTCTGTGCAGCACACAACTGTACTCAACTTGATTGAACTCCCACGGAGGGGTAGGCTTCCAAACGCAACTGAATTTCATTTTGGTGCAGCACCTGTCCACCTCAAGGCCTTAGCTTTGATAGCTTTAGAAAATAATGGCTACGGTAACACTATGCAGGTAAGACATGATTTTACCAGTGGCTCAGAGATTTAAGCACAATTGGCAGTGTTTGGTGTTAGAAGTAACCTTTATTTTTTGTAAGCTTCACACTAAGTACCCATTCACCAAATCAGAGGGAAGTGAAGTATTTACTCCTAAGTTAGGGATAATTGGCCTGGTTATTTTATGTATCTATGACTACATAGAACAGTGGGGCTAATGATTGGAACTGTATGTACTTAGCAAGTATTTATTTAATCACTTGAATAGCAGGCAGCAACTTTTCAGCTCTGATGATAGCCAGTTGTGAAAGACTAGGCATATTTTCCAAATCTGGATGATGAGAAATGCTTGGTAAGAAGTCCAGTTTGGAGAGAAGTGATTTGTAAATCTAAAGACGGCAGTCTTATGTCAGTTTTGAAGCCAGACTGCAAGACTGCTACCATTGCTCACTTACTGGACAGGCTTTCTGGAAGCCTCTACTGAAAATCTTATCTGATCGTAGACCTCCCCTAATAAAAAGCAAAACTATAATGTTGCTTCCTACTTTTCTCTGGGTTGCCTAAGAAATTCTTCAAGATTAAACCAACAGCCTGTAAGTGGTTTGACTTTCTAAACAAATGGATTATTTGAAAAATTTGAACGTATTGTTTATAACACAAGCCGGACACTGCCTCACTGCCTCACCCAGCACTTAGGGAGGCTGAGACAGGTGGATTGCTTGAGGCCAGGAATTTGAAACCAGCCTGGGCAACATGGCAAAATACTGTCTCTACAAAAAATGCAAAAGATACCTGTAGTCTCAGTTACTTGAGAGGCTGAGGTGGAAGGATCGCTTGAGCCCTGGATAGAGGCTGCAGGAAGCCATGATCACACCACTGCACTCCAGCCTGGGAGACAGAGCGAGACCCTGTCTCAAAGAATAATAATAATAATTAAAATAACAAAGAATGGAATATGTCTTTCGTGGAGCTCTCTAATTTTTACTCGTTTTTATTAAAAATACTGTTTGTGGAGGGTGTTGTAGTTAAGCTGCACTGTGGGCAGAGTGAACCCCTGTATCTCTACCAATCATCATATATGTCACAGATTCTGTGGGGAAATATGTCTCTGGCATGCTAACTGGGAACAACTAGACCCTTTGCTCTCCCTACCATTGCAGCCTCCTCCCCCAGCAGTTGTAGGACTAGCGACCCCACCATATGGGATGAGAGCCCTGTGTCGGCTGCCTTCAGCCCCTGCCTCCCAGGCAGCTCATTCTAGGAATGCTCCTTATACTCTGGAGAGTTTTCATCCACAGCTCAACCTAATGTTTTTGGAATATGATGTTTATAAGTGTCACTTGGGCAAGCTGTATATATTTGGTAACCCGAATAAACCTTTATTGCAATACTATCAGGTATTCACTTCTCACAATTGAATTGGTTAGGTACATATCTTAGATTTTTAAATTTGATTATCATGGATTCAGTAGAGCCCAAGTCGCTTCCTGTCTTTAGCTATATGCCTAGCTATCAATGGGAATTGTCTGCTAACAACTATTACTACATGGAACAGAAAAGATTACCATGGATCCTGTGTAAGAATATGTTTGAAAGCATCCACAAAAATCAGTTTTTCTCATTTCTGCTCAAGGAAAGTGGTCAGAAAATTATAGAACCTTTCTGCTTTAAGCTGATGATGATAGAAGATGGGTCATTTGTTAATTGCCTAAAAGAATGATCCTTGAAGTTATATCGAAAATTTTTTTTAGTTTTTTTCAAAAACACTATAGTAAAATTTTTTTTTTTTTTTTTTTTGAGACAAATCTCACTCTTGTCCCCCAGGCTGGAGTGCAATGGCAGGATCTCAGCTCACAGCAACCTCTGCCTCCCAGGTTCAAGAGATTCTCCTGCCTCAGCCTCCCGAGTAGGTGGGATCACAGGTGCCCGCCACCACCCCCGGTTAATTTTTGCGTTTTTAGTAGAGACATGGTTTCACCATGTTGGCCAGGCTGGTCTCGAACTCCTGACCTCAGGTGATCCCCCTGCCTGGGCCTTCCAAAGTGCTGGGTTTACAGGCGCAAGCCACCGCACCCAGCCAAATAAAATTAAATATTCTTGTATTATTTTTATGTCTCTGGAAAGGTATTAAATTCGTTCTCCTGGAAAAAGCTTCGCTGAAGGGCTTGGCTGGACTAGTTTCCCACAGCTCATCTTTGGGCCTTCTGGGCAGAATCGTTTTTCTTTATTGTGTGGATAGATCAGACTCAGTACAGAGACCAACAGGCTCTCCGCCTTCTCCTCAGAAGCAACTGGGATTCTCCAGAGTAGTCATAAGGTGATAGAAAGGCCCCAGAACAGATATTTCGTGTGTGCCAGAGCCTCCAGGGAGGCCACTCCGTTGCTGTAACAGTGCTAATGAGGCCAGGTTGCCAGTGGGTCCTCACCTGAGCCAGTTATTTATTTATATGACTCCATCTTGTTCTTCAAGGCTTGAAAGTGCCCTGTTTGGGCCAGGTGTCTTCACATGGAGAAAAGAGGCGTTCCACGGTCACAGCCAGGTGAGTGCACTCGGCCACTGGCATGGCATCCAAGGAGCGCAGGGCCGTGGAGGCTAAAATGCTGTGAAACGTCGCCTCTAACTGCCTTGCTCAAAGCAACCCGCCGCAGAGGTCGAGAGTGTCATTTACTCATATAAAGAACAGTTCTTTCTCCCCCACCCCTGAGAAGCAAAGCCACCGTAATGATTTTCACTATCTATAGGAATTTTTTTTTTTCTTTTTTCCCAAGATGGAGTCTCCCTCTGTCGCCCAGGCTGGAGTGCAGTGGCGCGATCTCGGCTCGCTGCAAGCTCCGCCTCCCGGGTTCCAGCCTTTCTCCTGCCTCGGCCTCCCGAGTAGCTGGGACTACAGGCGCCCACCACCACACCCGGCTAGTTTTTTGTATTTTTAGTAGAGACGGGGTTTCACTGTGTTAGCCAGGATGGTCTCGGTCTCCTGACCTCGTGATCCGCCCGCCTTGGCCTCCCAAAGTGCTGGGATTACAGGCGTGAGCCACCGCGCCCGGCGGAAAAAATTTTTTAAATCAAAAACGAAACGAAATTCCTGATTCAACACATTCCGAGGGCTGTCCAAATCAGCCTGGCAGTGACACCAGCAATGGTGGAAACCACATTTTATGAGTCTGCCTTCACTCGTCCTCCTGGGCATTTTTTATTCTTCAAACTGGAGATAAAAATAAGGGTTGGTCTCTCAAGGTTAGGAGGAGGAGAGCAGCATATGTTCTTCAAAAGACTCAATAAGATAATAGATTTTTTAAAAAGCTGTTGCTAGTGTAACTTACTTATAGTTTCAAAGGGCTTTTTTAAAATGAAATCTTTGCAAGCAATAGTAAAGAAATCCAAAACCCCTGAGGAGATGGTTAGAGTCCTGTCAGGGATTTAAATCTAATTATTAGCCTGAAAGTAAAAAGGAGAAAGAACTGGCCAAGTGTCAGCCGGAAAACAATAATCGCCATGGTGGTGTTCAGCAGCCCAGTTATTAGTGCCTTCGAGGATAGTTCAGCACATTTATTCTTGCCCTTGAAAGACAGCCACAGAAGCGTCGATGTTTTCTGATAATTGCTTCTTTTTCCTTGGAGTAGAAGTGCTTCCTGTGCTCCTAGGTTTCATCTCTTCTGAGCACCTGA